GTATGTCCCTTGGTTATGATCGCTTCGTAACCATGGAGTGTCCTCATCATTTACCAAGATGCTAGGGTCTTTGTTCACTTTGAAGGGCGGAATTCGGTCATCCTTTTCATATTCTTCTGACATGCTCGCAGATCAAAGTGTTCCTGTTTGTACTCATCCCACACACGTACACCTTCTTTATTCCACAAAATGAGAAGTTCGTCAATAAGTGGTCTCAGGTACACATCGATGTCATTGCCAGGTTGCTTCGGGCCTTGGATGAGCACAGGCATCATAATGAACTTCCGCTTCATGCATAACCAAGGAGGAATGTTGTAGATACTTAGAGTAACAGGCCAAGTGCTATGACTACTGTTCTGCTCTCCAAAAGGATTGATACCATCTGTACTTAAAGCAAACCTTAAGTTTCTTGCGTCATTTGCAAACTCCGGGAATTCTCTGTCGATTGCTCTCCACTGGGACCCATCAGCAGGGTGTCTCAACATATTGTCTACCTTACGGTCTTCTTTGTGCCATCGTAACAATTTTGCATGTTCTTTGTTTCTGAACAGACGTTTCAAGCGTGGTATTATAGGAGCATACCACATAACCTTGGCAGGGATTTTCTTCCACGGACGTTCGCCCTCAACATCACCAGGGTCATCTCGCCTGATCTTATACCGCGACGCATGGCATACCGGGCATGCATCCAATTTCTCGTACTCTTTGCCACGGTACAGGATGCAGTCATTAGGACATGCATGTATCTTCTCGATTTCTAGCCCCATAGGACAGACAACTTGTTTTGCTTCGTAGGTAGTGGCGGGCAATTCATTGTCCTTCGGAAGCATCTTCTTTTGAATTTTTAGTAACTCTCCAAATCCCTTGTCAGATACACCATTCTTTGCCTTCCATTGCAGCAATTCTAGTGTGGTTCCCAACTTTTTCTGCCCTGCATCACAAGTTGGGTACAACAATTTCTTGTGATCTTCTAGCATCCGCTCGAACTTGATCTTCTCCTTTTCACTTTCACATTCTCTTTGTGCGTCACGAATGACCTGAGAAAGATCATCAGCCGGCTCATCTTCTGCGGCTACCTCTTCTTCAGCTTCTCCCATTGCAGTATCATTGAAGCACGCACCATCGGGAATAATATCATTGTCGTCCCATTGTTCTTCTTCACCTTCTTCCATTACAACACCGGTTTCTCCGTGCTTTGTCCAACAAATATAGTTTGGCATGAAACCCGACTTGAACAAGTGTGAATGAAGAGTCCTTGAGCAAGGATATTCCACCGTATTCTTACATATGGCACATGGGCAGCACATGAAACCATCGCGTTTGTTTGCCTCGGACGCACGTAACAAAGAATCCACGCCGTCAATGAACTCTTGGGAGTGGCGATCAGCATTATACATCCAATGACGGCTCATCTGCATTACATGACATAAATACCATATTAAAACCTAGATCATAATTAATTATTTATACAACATGCGTGCCACCACAAAAGATACAAATTTATGAAAGCATCGCTACAATGTAGACAATCCCAACTACCACTAAAAGAACTAAAGCTAAAATACATTTCAAAGAAGTGAGGATTTCACGACCAATCTCAACTAAAATGAGGCAGATCCCCGATTGTGCAACATCTTTGGGCTTCTTCTGGGATCACCGCCTCATTAGGCGTCGATTCTGCATTGTTGTGCAAGATATTTTTGCACGAGTCCAACATACTCTTCCTCCCAGTAGAAGCCTGAACATCGTCCACTGCCATCCCACTGAAATTAAAACAAAAAATTAGAACTTTAATCACAACCATCATGAAAATAGGTATAAACTAACCATAATCATTAAATACGATAAAATAACTCACATTGCGATCCGGACACTTGTAGAAGATACAATCCTTGTTGGGACCCTCCTTCTTCACTCGGTACTCCATCACAATCTTCGTCTCATCACGACACTTGCCGCATGGAATGAGAGGGAGGCCCGGCCTAAGTCGCTTTGGAAACCCATGAGAGGCCGAGGACCCGGAAGCGATTGCCATCTACTCTCTATACTCATTTTTAATACACTATAAATTTCTCCTTTTTATAAACAAATAAAATTAAGAAACTATAAAATTATCTAGATATCTAAACAATGATATTTTTAATGGTCATTGTGTTCTCGTCTTTTACTGCGGCAAGTAAGTAATTCACATGATATTTCTGCAAATTAACGTAAGAATGGGAGTGTACACACATAGACTCTTCGCGACGATATCGGGACGTGTGAATAAATAACCATCCATACTAGTTGACCTTGCTTACGTGATCATCTCGGCGAGCATTTCTCCACCGGACGGCACCGTGCCTTGCCCGGAAGAGCTCCAATTCTACGAGGAAGGGAACACGGTCTTCCACGACCGCTGCCGCTCTCCCTCGTAGAATCAAAGCTCCTCCTTGATGTCCGTTACCGCTTCGCAGAGAACGTGCTCGCCGAGATGAACACGGTCCGCAAGTTCAACTAGTATGGATTTTCTATAATTTTCTAACTATTTTCTAAGTTTATATTTATATATATACTACGTTTGGGTACGGTGATTGATGGACTCTGCGGACGATATCGGGACATGTGAATAAATAACCATCCGTACTAGTTGACCTTGCTTACGTGATCATCTCGGTGAGCATTTCTCCACAGTGACGGCACCGTGCATTTGACCACGGAAGAGCTCCAATTCTACGAGGAAGGGAACACGGTCTTCCACGACCGTTGCCGCTCTCCCTCGTAGAATCAAAGCTCCTCCTTGACGTCCGTTATCGCTTTCGGCAGAGAACGTGCTTTCGCCGAGATGAACACGGTCCGCAAGTTCAACTAGCTACTTTAACCTTATTTCATGTAAATATGCAAGCTTGAAGTGATTTTGAGCTCAAATTGCTTACAAATGAAAAAAAAAACCAAAATAAAGAACCATATATATAGTGAACAAAATGAGATAAGACAATGGTGAAAAATGAGAGTATGAGATTGGTAACCTTTACAACTGAAGAATCGACGGAGGAATCGAAGAAATCGATGGAGGAATCGAATAATGGATGGAGGAACAATGGAGGGAGGGAGGAAGCAAGAACACTACTGCAGTGAGCTTCAAAATGTGCTGAGCTCGGGCTCGGGGAGGAAGGAGGAGACGGCCGGGATATAAAGGGGGGACCTTTAGTCCCGGCTGGTGGCTCCAACCGGGACTAAAGGTAACTTTCCAACCCCGGGCGCAGCCATGGCCCGGGAGTAGACCTTTACTCCCGGTTGGAGCCCCCAACCGGGAGTAAAAGTATACCTTTAGTCCCGGTTGGTGGCTCCAACCGGGACTAAAGGTCCCTGCCACCTCTATCTGGCGCAGTAGCCGTTGGGGCAGGGACCTTTAGTCCCAGTTGGAGACACCAACCGGGACTAAAGGTATTTCTAATCCCGGGCGCAAAAAATTCCGGGATTAGAGCCCATTTTGGCCGAGGATCAAAGGCCTGTTCTCTACTAGTGAAAGACTTCTCCGGTGGATAAAAGTATGATACTCTTTGGGGTGAAATACTTTCTAGAGTATGCTATAATTGTTTTGTCTCTCTACATAAAAAAACACTCCCCCCAGATGAAGGATTATAACTGTACCCATGGTACCAATTCTCTCCTCCTATATAGGTGGAAGCTTTAGTTTTAATTTTTTAAATCTTTTTCAAATCATATTATAAAAATAACTCCAAAATGTTTTTGTTTATATTTCATTCTTTTTGGCCGCGCCAAACCATATGATGTGGCGAATAAAATTACTCTTCCACACCACATGGTTTGGCAGTTGCAGTAGTGTGGTGCACAAGTTGAGGTAGGTTGTGGTTTTACGTGAAGTAATCCAATGTATTAATATTTTCTAGCTGAAAATCTGACTTGTACAAACTTTCGGCTGTCAAAAACATTATGAGCCTGTTTGTTTCCTTGCACAAGTGTGGCTTGTATGGATGGCCAGAGACAGGTTTGGGACGTCCTAACGGGGTGCGACTATGTTTGTTTTCCATGTATGAAATGAGCCAGGTTGAGAATGACCGGTGTTTGGTAGACTGTACAGATAAATCTGCTTACATTGCATCAGATTATGGTGGGGTTACCCAGTGGCGAATCTAGGATTTTGTCTCAGGGTATGCCGTCAAAAAAATTTCATATATAATTCGGTAAATCCATTTCAGCAATTCGGTAATAATTGTAAAATTGACAACATAATTCGGTATATATGTACTAAATAACACAATAAGGCTTACATTCATGGATTAAGTTCAAACCATCCACTAAGTATAGTATAAATAGTTCAAAAGCCATATCAATAATTGAAATAAGGCATAAAAGAGAACCAGAGACTTACAATGCTATTTTGTGACTATTTTATTCGACGCTTTCAAAGGGACATAAATGTATTGATTATATCATCTTCATCAACTTCAAAGAAAATATCCCGCTCAGTGAAAGTGACTAGACAGTCATCCAGAAGACTATCTCCCATCTTATTTCTTAACTTTGTTTTTACAAAAACCATTGCAGAAAATACCCTTTCAACACTTGCCGTTGCCACAGCTAGAAGCAATATCAATTTGAGGAGCTCATAAACCATATCGTACACTTTGTGCATCTTTGTTTCAACAAGCTTAACTGAGAGATCAACAATATTGTCTAGACCTTTGAAGCTATCATAATGTCTCATGTCATCAATATAATTATCTAGCTGCAACTCAAGTTTGAGCAAATTATTATTTGAGAACTCCTTTGGGTAGAACTCAGCTAGTCTACGTAGCTTTTGTGCATCAAAAGAAGCAAATGACTTGGAAGGACTGAAGGCCGACATACAAGACAACAACTCCATATTAATCTCATCAAACCGATTATCAAGTTCTTGACTAATTTGATCAATGACACCAATATATATTTCTCTTCTAAAGTGGTCATCATTGGTTTGCTTTTGGGCACGAGCTTTACTTGCTGATTTCCGCAACTACTCTCTCATGAATCTGCTCTTCCACCATAGGTTCAATTGGATCAGGATTAGAAGTAGCAGCAGCTGTCGTAGCCTTCTTCTTTGCTGCATGCTTATGAAAAAGAGATGCAATGTCCCCGTTTCTCTTCATAACTACATAAATATTACAAAGAACACAATGCCAAAATAATTAAATAAATTGTGCTTGCACGATTGAACTCTCGGATGCGATTATGGATCACTCACATGATATGAGTACTGAACAAAAGATCAATCAAGATCGACTCTGATGTTGAGAAAAATCCTCCACCTCGCCGCGTGATAGATGATTCTATAATTTTAGCGCTAAGCAATTAGCAATTAAAGTACACATGATTTTTTTTAAAAAGCCGAAGAACAAAGATTGAATCTCACCAAAACAATTGTGATCACAAATTCGCCTAGATGCCGCCGGTGGCCGGTGCCGCCGTAGCCCGTAGGGCAGAGCGTAGGCCAAACAGGACACGAGGTCGGAGGTTCTCTTCGTAACTGCACGAATATTAGAAAAACACGATGCTAAATAATGAAACAATCTATTATTGTAATGTTAGCAAATAACACAAGAGATTAGATCAGGGGAACTGGGAAAGTGTGGCGTAGTCGTACTCACCGCGTCTCTGTGACTCTGCCGTCAGGGTGTCCGGCGGTGCCGGCGCCGTGACCGCGTCTCTCGCTCCGCCCGTCCGTCGGCGTCGCCTCCTATCGAGATTAGATTAGGTAAAAGTTACGCCTAACTGCGTTGCGGGCGTGGTCAATGTGAACGCCTTCTTTGCTACGTGGGCCGCGTGGGGTGTCTCAAGTGGGCCTTTCGTGGTGGCGTGATGCATTCCAGGTAAGTTTTTTTTCTTTTTTCTTTTACATAAATACAAATGCAAATACATATACAGTATATAATAGTATATTCATCGGTGCCACAGGGTATGCCAGTGCATACCTGGCATACCCTGTGCCTCCGCCACTGGGGTTACCACCATACCACATCTCTCTTCTTCCCTTCCCCTCACATCACCATTGTTCTTAAACATTTTCACAAACACCTTGCATACAGGATAGACAAGAAGCAACAAAAGTGAACATGCTGATGTTTGACCACAACGATGAGGGCTTCAACCAAGGCCTCATCAAGCAGAAGCACACCAAGAACATGAGCAAACATGAGAAGCCACAGCTGAGCTCGGGTGGCGAAGGCGTAGCACTGTGGTGCCCCTTTTGTTCACACCGCCGTAGGAGGAAGAGCATGGGCCGCTGGTGAGCACTCACTCCCACGGCCTCCGTGATGTTCTCCTCCAGCACAGCTGAGCCTGGGTGTTAGAGGCGCTGCGCTATCGCGCCCCTCGTGTCTGTGCCGCCGCAAGAGGAAGAGCAGGGGCCGCAGGTGAGCACCTCATACCTCTCCAGGTGACGGAGGCGCAGCGGCCACAGTCGAGACGCATTGCCAGGATGAGGAGGAGGCACGATGCCATTGCAGATTTAGGCGGGTGGTGGATAGGCGGCAATGGTCGGGACTCGGGAAGATGAAAAGCTTGCGTTGTTGAGAGTATGGGAGGTGACCACACCAATCGCTTGGGCATTGAAGCCGGCCAGGCCCAAAAGAGAAACGAACTCCAATTTCGAGTGGTTGTGCCAGCCTATCCCGCGAGGCCATCCAGGCTACCAAACATGCGTAGCGGCCTGGCCTAGTGTTTGTGCAGGAAAACAAACAGGCCTTATCTAGTTAGGCCTTCCACAGTGTGCAGTGGAGCTTAAGTTGTTCCTCAAAGAGAAAGAGAGAGTTGCATCACTCCAACCACCACAGCCACCTATGCCTATGCTAAAATAATTCGGCCGGTGCAACTACTTGTGCTCTGGTGCTATCTTCGTTAAAAAATGTTTTCTACAGATAGCGAGTCCCAACTACCACTCAACCGAGGGACGAGAAGCATCCAGGTACTTTACTTTTTTAATATATATCAGTTGGGCCTCTAGCAATGCCGCATCGTCCACACCCTGTGACGTTTGAAGTGTGATGCTAAAATCTTCTCTGTGGGGCTCAATTATTTTTTGGTATGACTCCATGCCCTTGGGGGGGGCTTATGACCGGAGGTAGAACCACGAGCACTAGGAACGTATGGAGGGAAACTTAAGCGAAATCATTTCCAAGAATTAGTAGATTGATACATTCAATGAGAAAAAAAGACAGCCTACAAGGATGCATTTGATAGATGTAATTACGAACTAAATCCTGAACACAATGCACGCTGGTGATGCAGTATAACATCAACGTATGCCTCTACAGCTGGTTTCGCTAGGCATACAGATACACAAATACAAGATCGACGATTGGTGTCAAGGTAGCTAGCTAAGATATGGTGCGGCCGCCGTCGATGCAGATGACCTGGCCGGTCATGTAGGACGCCGTCGGCATGCAGAGGAAGGCAACCATGGACGCCACCTCCTCCGGCTCGGCGATCCTCCCCATCGGCAGCCGTGCCATTTCATTCTTCACTAGCTCAGGGTCTATTGTCATCTGCTCAGTCATTAGTACTGAATTAATAATCGTGACTATATTTATGAAATTGTAGCTTTCAGCTTAGTGGGTACGATGGAAGAGAGCTTACATCGGTGCTGATTTCAGTCTTGACGCCGCCCGGCGCGACGCAGTTGACGCGGATGCCGTCGCCGGCCCACTCGGTGGCGAGGCTCCGCGTGAGCTGGTTCAAGGCGCCCTTGCTCATGGAGTAGACTGCCAGCGCCGGGAGCCCGATGAAGCCAGCGATTGAGGAGACGTGCACGACGCTTCCCCCGCCGGCAACGGAGGCACCGAGGAGCAGCGGGTGCGCGAGCTGGCTGAGGTGGAAGCACGACTCCAGGTTGGTCGCCATGATCCGCGCGTAGTCCTCGCCGGTGGACTCCGCCGCCGGCTTGAACAGCGTCTGCCCCGCGTTGTTGACGAGCACGTCAAGCTTGCCGCCGAACGTGGCCCCGATGGTGGCCATGAGCTCCTCGCGGTCGGCGCGGACGGACACGTCGCAGACGGAGATGGTGACCTGCAGCCCCATCTCCTCCCACCGCCGGCGGCACTCCTGCAGCTCCGCCGCGTTGCGTGAGCACGTGTGCACACGCGCGCCGAACCCCGCCAGCTCCTCCACGATCGCGTGCCTGCCACATAGGTCCAAGCATGTTATTGCACGTGCACTAATTGACACGAACGACGTTGTAGATCACACTGTGAGGTGGTCACATAGCGCACCCGATGCCCTTGCTGCCGCCGGTTACGAGCGCCGTCGCGCCGGCGAGGCTCCACCGCTCCTCCCTGCTCCTGCCGCCGGACACCATCTTACTTCTGCTCCTCCCTGCTCTTACCGCCGGTGTTGCTAGGGCTACCGTCCAAATGGAATGGATGATAGAAGATGCTTACTCCTCAACGGTGCACCAAGTACTTATATATACTGGGAGTCGAGCCAGGAGCTCAATTTCGCGTGCACTGGATGAACCTCTTCAGACAACTAGCGAACGTGTCTGTACAATGCAACGTATATAACCCAATACGTGTATCGGACTCCGTATCATCGATAAATGCGAGTTGTTTTAACTCGTATGAGGATGGTAGGCAATGAGTTTGGATGAGACAAGCAGCATGTTCGTTTCGGCTGAAACGATCATGGATTATAAACCAGAAGTACTGCTGGCTGGTTTGGTGTGAGAGAAAAATACTGTTTCAGCTTATAATCCACGATCGTATAAGCCGAAACGAACAAGCTGATGATATGGAGGGCGCGACTAAATACGTCTTGAAATCGGACTTTGTTTGATTATTGCTAGACCCGAGCTGTTCTAACTTCTATAGTCACGGTAATTAGTTCGGGTCGCATACATGAAACGGAGGGTGTGAGTGCGGTTTTGGAAGTAAAAGAAGCATGACGGACAAAACTTTGTACAGTTTTTTTTTAATTCAAACGGCAAAGCGCCAGCCTTTATATTACCATAGGCCACAACAGTTTAAGCATTGGATACATCGTTATCAACACCGAAACAGAAAAGAACTCCAAGGTAAACCACCAGGATGCCGGTTCCTCCAACTCTTACAAAGACAACTAGAATAACATACCCCATAGACAGATTCACCACTTCTTCTCCCCCATAAGCCTGTTCCAGCTTTGCGCCATCCACCATGGACAAGTTCCTCCGGTCGTTCCCAGATTGAAAGAGGTACCTCTCCCACTTGTTGTTTACTTGGTTCAACCAGTAATCCTGAGAGGTCTTGAGGAGATAGATTTCATAAACTCCCCTTGCATCTCCTTTGAGCAAAGAAGAAACCAGCTCTGAATCATCGTTGTTACCTTCTGTAATAGACAATGGCCATTTGTCCGCCTCATATCCTGAAAGCTAGCTAGCATAGACAGTTTCTCAGCTTCCAAAGCCCCCACAGGGCAGCAGAATAAGAAATATTAGCTACAAGAAATTTCTTGTTACATAGTCACATGGTTCCTATAGAAACAAAATCTGAGCCTGCATCTCTGTCTAGCACCTCAGAAATATCACTCCAAAGAAATTTCTGTCTAGCTACCACACAATCCAAGAAAAGATATATAAGAATAAAATTTTAGCTCTTTAATATTTGGTATAGATATATATTAAACACCTCGTCCAGCCACACTCTCTCCCTTTCCATATACAAAGGATAAAAATTGTGCTAGTCATCGCTGCCTTTGTGATTAAACAATGACACGGCCTGCGTTAGTCATCGCTTCCGCCGGCCGGATTTGGACAGATACGGAGCACCGGAAGACATCGCTGCCAAGCTGCCCTGCCGGCCGTTGTGTTGGACTACTAATTTATTCCATGTGACCGGCCACAACTGCATGTTGTCTAATTCTCATACCAGAGGACAAAATGCAATTGAATTTAAAGATTCTACTATCATTTAAATCTGAGATGTCGTACCATTGTTTTAATTTGCTGACCTAAGCCCAAACTAATAATGCGTATAACTGTACATATACCAAGGAAGATCACAATTGTCATATCCATGTGGGGTTTATAAAATGTTACAAAAAAGGGTCTTTGTTCGTTATATATGTAGTAGGTATATTCACCCATTTTATGCATGTCTTGGTTCTGTACGAGTTAAAGACAGGAAAGGCCGGCGCATGCATCTAGATATTGTTCATTGCTGACATCAGAGAGAGACAGCCGAAATTCACTGAAAATCGTTCCTCTTGGCCATGCGACGTAAAAGCTAATACGAGCTTTTAATCTCAGCCATTTTTGTTCCCACAAACACTGTTGGCTTTCCAATGGCAGCAGCAGATTTAGGGCCTGTTTGGCATAGCTCCAACTCCAGATAAAGCAGCTCCACTGCAGAAATCCAGGTGGAGCTGGCTCTGAGGGGAGTTAGAGCTGTCTATAGGGGGTGTCTGGCTAGAAGGTTACTCTCAGCTCCAAAATAGTGTTTTATCAGTGTGGATTGCCCACTTTGCCCTTGGTTGACATGAGTGTACTTCAATGATGCGCCCAACAGCAAAACAAGCATGTGAATTAAATTAAAGTACCAATATATTACAATATAATCATGTCCAATCAAATAATCCGAGTTACAAGTCCATAGTTTCAAAATATGATTACATTAATTCCAAGCTAATGCGACGGATGTAGCCAAACTATCACGAAATGAGTCCATAGTCACAAAGCTTGATTCCGAAGTGGATCCATCAGAGGCATGTTGAGACACAGCATATTTGTTGTACCTTTCCGGGATAGTCGGCACATAGTTCGGATCTCGATCGAAATTAGCAAAGTCCACATCCCCACTAGCATGCTCACGTATGAAATTGTGGAGAACCATGGTAGCAGCTACAACCTTCTTTTGTGTGAGCATGGAATAGGGAGGCATCTTATAAAGAATTTGCCACTTCATCCTTAATACTCCAAATGAACGTTCAATAAATGAATGAATCCGGTTGAACTTCTCTTTTGTAGTATTTGGTTCCATACCTCGATGCCACTCAGGTAAATGATACATTTCACCCTTGTATGGAGCTAGGTAACCTGGACAATTAGGATCACCCGCGTCCACAACATAGTATTTGTTTGCACATATGAAAAAATAGCATAAGAATTTGAAGTACAAATTGAGGATGCAAAATGTTTGTAATGTTTGTACCTTGTGGATGATGTGGGAAGACTTGCACATCCACTTCCATTGCATGGTACATTACACTAGTGTCATGCAAAGCTCCCAGTTGACACACTGCCACATATGTGAATCGCATATCAAAATCACAAGTGGCAAGCACATTCTGAGCAGGAATTCCTGTCTTACCAATGAACCTCACTTGTTCTTCAGGTGAAAGAGACACACAAATATGAGTTCCATCTAGTGCTCCTATGCAATCCCTAAAGTGTGGATATGCTCTTTTGTCATTCCTAATTCTTTTGTGAACTGTCCAAAAATTAGGATCAGTTGGTCTCAAATAATCTTGAGCCATTGCAACCACACAATCGAGAACTTCATGGAATTTGCTACTAATGGTTTCACCAGAATGCTTGAACCTATTTTGCCCTCTTCTATTTGACTCACATCCACCACATATAAATAGAAAAATTGCAAGCATTTCATAGGTATTCATGTGTTTCGACGGTTTCAAACCATACCTATCAACCAACACATCATGAAGATCCAAAAAGATATCCTTGTTCATCTGAAGCATTGTGTGGCATTCCCCTGGAGTGTTTTGGGTCTCAGTCACCCATCCCAGAGGAGTGGAGGCGCGGGGGAAGGAGGGGACGGCGGCGGGGGAATGGAGGCGCGGTGGATGCGGCGACCGTGCGGGTGAGGGTGAGCAAGGGGCGACTGTGACCGCGTGGGTGAGGGCGAGCACGGGGGTTGCGGCGTCGAGTGGGAGAGTGACGGCCCGAGTCGAGGATGGCGCTGGATAGGATCAAGTCGGGGCGGTCAGAAACAAGAGAAATAATGGTTCGCTGGGTTGGAGTGTGTAATCGATGGCAAAGGCAGGTAATTTCCTTGGAACTCCATGTCTAGGTCTATTTCAGAGGGTTCTAGAGCTGGAAAAGAGGTGCTCCAAGAGAATGAACTAGAGCTCCAATAATTCCATAGAGTTCGGCTGCTCCAACTTTTTTGGAGTTGAGGTGTTTGGCTAGCTATAGCCAGCTCTAGCCTGAGTTTGGCTCTAGAGCCATGCCAAACAACCCTTAGTCAAAGAACGACTTCAAAGGGTGGCATCACGGGCAACAACAGCATGTATGGCAGCACGAGGAGGCGGCAGCAGCACAAAGCGATCGGTTGCCAGGTATTTTATTATTTTGTTAATTGAATATCACCATCGGTTTGTAACCAATGGTGCACTAGTATAGACAACATTTCTACTAGTGGTACATTTTGAATTTGTACTGGCGTTTTTATGAACCGCAATGTGAAAGGTTAGTGAAAATCAACATATTTCACTAGCATTACTTATGAAGCGCATGTGTAAGTATTTACACTAATGGCTTTATGAAGGATACTGCCGGTGTAAATCGATATGGAATGGCCGCATGCTTACACAAACTGCCGGTATAAATCATTTTCTAAAATTTACAAATTAGGTAAAAAAATAACAAATATTTTCCATTCGAGAGAGGTCCAATATGAGAAAATGGGTTGAATGAGTTGCCCCAAATAAGGACTCGGTTATGTTTTATATGGCCGGGAACAACCCCCAACGTGTCTTGTACATCAAGTAAGGATTACAACAGAATACAAGATCAATCAGGATCAATCTACAGGATATGATCTATCAATGGAAGCAGTGGTAGGACGTGGGGCTCTGGCTTAGATTGGATTGGAGAATGAGCACATAGGAAGGAAAAAGAGGTTGGCGAAGGTATTGGTGTGATCCAATAGCTTGGGTCAAGGTGGAAAAAGTAGGAGATGGCCGATGAGTTGTAGCTCTGAAGATGAGCCATGTCGTGGCGACTGTGGCGCATCTATGCCACCCCACACCATGCCACTTCATGGTAGTCTGATGAGTGGCGAATGACGTAGGCAAGCGCATATGGCCATGATGCAGAGCACCGAGGCATGCGTGAAGTCTGCGTGTGTTGCGGAGGAGGAAAACGGAGTAGATGGGGAAGGAGGTTTTTTTGCAGTTTTCATTCATGCTGGCACATACACATATGCATCTGGAGGTGATGTGTGGGAGGCTTTGTACGACCTCTACTCGAACGCCAAATTAGATCAGGGACCAAAATGCCGGCCCATCACTATCGATTTCTTATCAACCGGCAGTCATAGGCGAACCGACAGTGATATTGGGGTAGTGATATTCGGTCAACACTGCCGGTAATTGGTGTGATCCAGCAGTGATTCTATCATCACTACCGGTTCATGGCTTGAACCAACAATGATACTATCACTGCCAGTTTGGGACATGACTCGCCCGACAGTGATAGACTGTACGAAAAACATCATAACTTTCTCATATTATGTCTGAATAAGACGAACTTTATACCAAAGTTGTAGTACTCAACGAGATCAACAACTTTGTTATTGATAGCATTTTCATTTGAAGTCGTTTTGATGCTGAATATTTGATTCACAAGATTGTATAGAGTTAATACCAAAGGAATCCATATGCTCTATAGTCATATGTGTCGTGGTAGAGAAGGATCTCAGATGGACAAACGACCAAAACAAAAGTTGTAGATCTCAAAAATTTATACAACTTTGTAGTTCAGAACTTTTTTTTATCTGAAGTCGTTTTGATGTTGAAATATTTGATTCACAAGATTTTATAGAGTTAATACCTAAGGAATCCATAGGCTCTATAGTCACACGTAAGTGTGTAGTGTTAGGGAAAGATTTCAGATGGAGAAACAACCAAAACAATGTTGTAGATATCAAAAACTTATGCAAATTTCGAGTTGGAAACTTTTTTATTTGAAACCATCTATCCAACAAAAATTACATTTGAATTCCTCACTTTTGAAATTTGAATTTTTCAAATGACCATGGATGAAGAAGTAACCAAAACAAAAGTTGTAGATCTTGAAAAGTTATGCAACTTTGTAGTTGACAACTTTTTCATTTGAAGTCATCTATCCAAGGAAAGTTATGTTTGAATTTCCTCGTATTTGAAATTCAAATTCTTCAAATGACATCGGATGGAGAAATGACTAGATGCAAGTTGTAGATCTTGACATGTTATAAAACTTTGTAATTGACAATGTTTTCATTTGAAACAATTTAGGGTTCCAAATACTCATTTCAAAACCAGATAAACATAAAATGAGGAGGATGAATATCCCAAAAGGTCGTGGGTTTGAGCGCCAGCAAACGCGAAGCGCGTGTTTTTCACGTGAAAAATTGCGTGACTTGTGGGAGCGCATGCATGTGGCTACCTAGTGGGGTCTCTCACAGTATTAAATTTTTTTTCTATATATTTTCAGCATGAATTTGGTATTCTAGGAAACCTCATCAAGTGATGAGCCCTGCCATCAACGCCGCTTTCTACTGTGGGTTCAAGAAATCGACAGTGATGAGGTTTTTGAATTGGCAGTGAAGGGCTGTTCTGGGGTAGTGAAATAAGAGCGATATTTCAACTTGTATAATTGTCGGTAAGACCATAACTGTTGGCCATTCACAGTCTCCCTAACTCATAGGCCATTATACTTTCATATTGGCATAGGTACCTTAACCCGTTGGCCATCCATTAATAGTCTCCCCAACTACCTGTTGGCCATTATACTTCCATACTAGCATAGGTTGTGTAGCTAGTATAATGTAGATACTAGGTTTAGGCCCATATCTATAAACATCTTGTCGTCTAATTGCAAACTTTGAGGACTTGTTAGTAACTCATAGCCTCACGGAAGAAGTAAATACAAACAACCATCTCTCCCTCCTATAAATGGTGCACTAAGGCTTAGAGGCAAATGATCCTCGGCCATCTCACTCTCCTTTTTTCACTGTTCAACACCCCTACCTCTCTTTAGGATCCTCCCCCTATCTCTCCTTGGCAACAAGGACAATTCCTCAACAACCTATAACTCTTCCCCTCTCTCTTTGGCGACAAGTCCCCAGCAACATGTAACGCTTATTTCACTATGCCAGAAAACCTTATCAGTGACGCGTGTAGAGGGTCATCAGTGACGCGTAAAACACGCGTCACTATTCTTGCGTCTGTGATAAGGGCACATTAGTGATGCGTAAAAACGCGTCACTGATAGGAAACTATCCGTGACGCATATTTAGAACACGAGTCACTGATAACGCGAACATGCGTCACCGATAACTGTAAGACGCGTCACTGGTAAGGAAATAGAGTGACGCTTATTCAGAATACGCGTCACTGAAAACAGGAATACACGTCACTGATAAATCCATATCAGCGACACGCTGTGGGAACCCGCGTCACTAATAAGTCTATATCAGCGACACGTTGTGGTAACACACGTCACGAATAAGGATATATGAGTGAGACATACTAAGAATATGCGTCACTGATTTGCGTCACTGATAATTTGATATCAGTGACTCATGTCTGTCTAATGTGTCACTGATAGCATATAACAAATGTACACATTGCTCATCAGAACCCCACATCATTCACAGAAGAAATATATATAAGTCATCAATATGTAACATGTTCACACGAGATAGACATCAAGTTCAACAGATTCACATTTATATCAAATGTTCACAACTTGTTCAAAATCCATCACAACTTGTTCGAAATCCATCTAAACATTGGGCTTAATTTATTTAGTCACACACTACATCACTGGACTCACACTGATAATGGCAAACACACATCACTGGTCATGATGGAACTCTCCTTTCTTCTCGATGACTTGTTCCACTAAGAACCTGGCTAGCTTTTCTCTAATCATGAGCATATCGATGGGCGTCGTCAACACTTCAAATTCCTGTGTCAAGATAGAACTTTGGTAAAAAAGAAAACATGGTACAGTACAATGTACAGGACAATATAGACAATCAATGTAAAAAATCACAGTTGCTAAGCTTGATGCAAACAATCAAGGGACATAGGAACATCCGCAGATGTGGAAATTCATTAGCAAGCAGATGGTGCTGTGCCTATGTCTATCACTGAGTAAAATATATAGGCAGCGTAAAGCATCGAGCATTCGAGCTTATGACTAAAGTAGTACTGTGCATGTTTCCACTTAAAAGAAACTGCAGAGTTTTCTTCTACATCAAGGGAATAGCCTACAAATGTAGTGAAATCGCATTAAGGTTTGAAATACAACTGTTACTTGAGAACTGCTTTTTCCTGGACACGCAGGACTGTTTCCTTGAGACTGATTTGAAGACAGAATGCTGAGGCTACACAAACTTTTTCATCAAGACTATGAGCAATCGGCTAGTGCCACTATTACCGAATAATGATACTCAAATTGAAACACAAACTGGCCACTACGACAATGGCCACAGTATATCCGAGTGCTAGGAAACAAATAAACAATCAGAGAAAATAATCTGTTAGCTAGCTGCATGCTCCTAATCCAATCACTAAACTACCTGGAGCATAAGGCGGTTCAGCTGCAAAAGCACAGAGCTGGCACCTGCTCCTCCACCCTCATCAGATCACTCCCCAAAACGAAAAGACAGGTAGCAATACAAATAAAGCCTCCACCTTTTCTCTTCTCTTGAGATAGAAAAAAGACAGGTAGCAGAACAAGTACCATGGGCTAAAAACTATACTAGGACATGACACAGTCACACACACTCAAACAACCATGGGCCATTATATTTGCACATCCAAAGTTTAGATATGAATACCTCAGAGTATTCCAAGTTTGTCTTTCTCATAGCTAAAAACAAGTGGTGTGCAGCATACCAGCCAGATGACTTAGCGTAAGATTGTTGAAGGCACTGCACACAAATATATATAGAACACAATAATTTGAAAATGGAAGTTGAACACAGTACTTAATATACTAGAGGCACAATATTGACTTTTATTTTTGGAAGCACTTACCGCATATTTAAAAGCGTGTTTCAATGGCTGTGGTCTGTCTTTCAGCTTGTTTGTGTGTCTTGCAAAAGCCCTACATGTAAGAGTACAACACACACATATATATGGCTCATTATGTTGGTTCAATGATATTGGCACTTATGAAACAAGTCAATAGTAGGTAAGCAAACAACTCACTCGTCAATCAACAGTTTTAGCACGCTGAAATCATGGTTTTCAGATCTGTTGGAATCAAGGTATATGACCTTATTCCACTTTTGAATTATTACCACGACGATCCAATGATCACCAGCTAAGCCGCCAGAGTTGTAGGCAAACATTATGTAGTCATTCTTGGTATACTTGGTGAAGGCCTTTTGTACATACTGCAGAACTTTGTCTCTATCAAATGTTATGCTGTCCAGTGACATCACTTGTGGATCTAGAAAGCCCACATGAATGTCCTTAGCCTTAGCTTCCACAACCAGTGATCTAAAAATAAGAAAGAACATGTAGACAACATGAGTACATAAACCAAAAGGGATATGCCTAGAGAAAATGAGTACAGAACAGCCGATGAACTGCAAGCATATGTATCTAGGTCAGCTACTTCAACCAGCTTAATTGCATTTTATCTGGGTCAGCTAGAATACACATGATGTAGAGCATGAAAATTGATGTTTAACGTCTGTACTCTGTACCTCAACTCATGCAAGGTAAACCAAGCACAAAATTGATGTTTATGTTCAGTTTTATTCTAGAAGCACTCTAAACATGTTCAAAAGCTGACATGTTCAAAAGCGGTTCTGCAAAAATAGCAACTGGCAATAAACAAAGGCACAATAGCAGCTATCATAATGACATAGGTGGCTACCAAATACTCTATATGGAGATGGCTAGATACAAATGTAGGGATGATATAGATAGTTTTCATAATGACATAGGTGGATGATTTATTTATTAGATGGTTACTTTAAATGTAAGGAGAACTACTATCAGCTATGACCTTATTTCTGTTCTTCTACCATGGGGTAACAAAAGTAAAGAACACAGATTTGTTTGGAGGTACTTACAATATCCAGCATTGAAGAAGAGAGGCATCCAATGCCCCAAATTGGAAGAGGTCATACAGAAAATTGTATCTCACAAGCCTGACTTCGAAATTTGATGAGTTCAGCATATAAATACCCCTGAACCTAACCACTATCCCATGCTTATTGTTGACGCAATCTTTCATGTAATGAGCATGAAGAGCAGTACATCCAGGTCCTACCGCCTTGAGGTCCATTGCTGGGAGAAATGGGTGGCCACATTTGTACTTATCAATCCATTTTTGCTGCTGCGGTTGTTTTAGACTCTGTCCAACAGCCTTACTAGCCAACTTTTTATTTGTGGCTGCCTTTTCACTCTCTCCAGCAGCCTTACTAGCCCCTTTGGGTTGCTTGGGTGGCCTTGCACCGCTTCCAACAGCCTCAGTTCCCACTTTTGGCTGCGTGGGCAGCTTAGTGCACTCCTTCTCTGAGCTGTTTGGATTGTTTGAAGGGTTGGCTGTATTATGCTCCTTTGGCACACTCTTTGTTGCATCAGATGTGGCCGGAGATTGATGATTTGAAGGAGTTGAATTGGCTCCACAAAGTAGCTTTGTAGAAATAATAGCATTAGTGCCCTTCGAAACACTCTTGGCACTCTTTGTGGTCTCATCTTGTTGAGATTGGGCTGGCTGGGTCTCATGTGTTTGTTTCACTAGAATCCAATCCCTTCTCCACTGTATCCTCTGTAGTAGAGCTTCTCTAACTGTTTTGATATCATCATTAGGGGGCGGCTGCAGCACATAATCGTTAAACAATAGTGGAAGTAGCTAGTTCAAATATGCTTGATTAAATATTTAAATATGTAATTCACCTGTACTAGCCTATGCCAACTATATAATGAGTGCGTTGATAGATAAGCTAGTCTAGTATTTGCTTTCTAGCATATCCACCTGTTGTAATAGACCGTACATATATTTACAAAATTCTCAAACGATGATGGCTAAATTTATGTCGTGCGACTTCCTCCTGGACTCACCGTGGCGCGCGGTAGGTCAGCCTGGAGGCAACAAACGGTACCCCATGTCCCAAGGGCATGCATTGTGCTTCTTTGGGATATTAAACTCATAGGACTTATCCACAATTAATTATTCTTCAGCAAATCTACTACAATGTTATTCTATATATAAGAAGACGCGCATGCACCGATATGGATTTACTATAGTTTTAATTAGCAAAGAAGGTATATACAGTATAGCACAAACACGACACGTATTTCATGCCAAGTGCTATATATTTTTATCTTATTAATTAATTTGTGAGTGTTGTGTTTAACCATTTGTTGCATTGCGAAATATCCCTTTTTTCTTTCAAAACATTGGTCTAATTTAAAAAAACTGTCAATGAAGGACCATTCATTAAACTATGTATACATTTAACTTAACAACAAACACTTAGATTATTACTCTCTCTAGTCGTCGTAACAACATAACATCATGTCTTGTTGACAAAATTTAGTCAAATCTTAAAAATTAATTACTGCAAGTATCATTAACTTCTAAAGTATATAGATTGGAAATGAGATATATGTGCAAATTTTGTATTAAAAACTACTCTCTATTCCCAATGATAAGATGTTTTGATTTTTCAAGATACGTTTGTACTTATACACTATGTCTTGATATGTAGTAAAGGTAATGTACCTAGAAAAACCAAAATGTCTTATACTTTAGAATGCAGGGAGCACTTAGCTCGCAACATCTCATAAATTAAGATATTAAAAATACATTTTAGAAGGTATCAGTGATTACAAATATGCGTGGAAGATCATACGAAGTCAAATATGGAGCCTCATGTACTTGGCTTGGGCAAACAACTAACACTTGAGTAATTAAACTGGATGGCAGCCGAGCACAAATGTCCATGAATGGTTGTGGGGGGTACGACCCGGATACCCACGGTAGACTACATGGGCTGCGCTGCCAGGGGCGGTCTAGCCCACAAGACGAAGCCTTGTGGGGCACAGCGCTGCTCGGCACCCCCCGCAAGATTCCGGAAAGATATCCTGAAGATACGGCGTAATCTGTTAGGATATGTTACAATCCCGTGATTCATGTAATCTGTTATTACTTACCGGTTATCTCCCAGATCTAACCGACCTGTAACCCTACCCCCTAGCTATATAAGGCGGGTAGGGGACCCCCTCAAAATACAGGCAATATCATACGATAGCTAATACAAACCAAAAGACCATGGGAGTAGGGTATTACGTCGTGTTGACGGCCCGAACATGTCTAACTCTTGTGTCTCTGTTGCCTTCTTGTTCTAGATTACGCGCATCTCTACCGATCAATCTACCTTCGTGGGATACCCCTCGGAGGACTGTCGATGATATTCTGTCGACAGTTGGCGCGCCAGGTAGGGTTGTGCATGCTGTTTCCATGATGAACAAGATGGTACGTCTTGCAGGCTCTTCGTCCTCTCCGAAGCTCAGCCAGATCTTCACGGTCGGATCGATCTCCTAGGTCATCAATGTTGACGGGGACAGATAGATCATTGAGCCGGTGCAGATCGATTCTACGCCGACCACACCAGCACCTACAACAGCAGATCCGATCTCAGAACCGTCTCCGAGGTCGTCTTCACCAACAACTCACTGCCTGCTCCCTTGCTATCCGAGGAAGCAGATCAACAACGATGATCTAATCGCGTCCATCGATCAGGTTGGCCAGAAGCTCACCGACTGCCTCTCCATCGTGGAATCAACACCAACCACCCTCCAATTCCGATATATCAGAGGCTGATCGGGAAACTCCAGGGGTTACGGTCGCCACCCATCAGGACGCACTGAGGGGCAAATTCGCCGACCAGGTGGGAGACGTCTATCCTCTCGCTGACCAGATCGCCGACCAACAATCATCGACTGTCAATATGCTGCAAATTGGCCGACGTCCCCAAGCATCCCTCCACACCATCCTAGAGGAAAACCCAGACTCTGAGTCCTAGGGCTCTATGGAGACTGCCGTTGAAACCATCGCCATCCAGCCTCCTTTCCCACCCTTCCGTGGAGGTGGGATTTTTAATGTCAGCATCGACAGACCACCACGGGATGGAGAAACCGATGAGGACCGCGTGGCTCATGTCAACAGGAACGCCAACCGTGCGCAGCGCTGAGCAAATGAGGCCGCCATTGTGCTAGCTGAGGCTGCTCGCAACGGAGAACAACTCGACTCGTAGGGGAGGCCGCTCCCACTCCGCCACAACCTCGTTAACGAATTCATCCATGTCAATGGCCATGATGTCTACAAGACCCCAAGCGCCAACTTGGCCGTGGCCGCTAATGAGCTCGCTCGGCTCGAGCAAACGCTAGAGGTCACCAAGGTCGCCACAATGCTTAAAGCTATGCACTGCTAGGTCAATGAGATCTGCTAGGATCAGGGGCCTTCCTACTCAAAAAGCTCGAATCGCCAATCTGCCACGCCAAGATCCAATCGCCGCCCCCGCAGAAGCTGTTTCGCTGACCAGCATTGTGATGATGGACGACCCCTCTAGGGGTGAGCTAGGGGCAACCGTATTGACTACCCTCGCCAACATGACCAAGAAGTCGACCAAGATGTCCGAGCACACATCAATAACCTTTAGGATGCATGACATCATATCAACGAGCGCCGTTTCTCTCGGGATGAAGAGGAAGTATGCCGGCGTCAAGAATATGAGCAAGAATTCGGTAATCTAGATGCGGCCCTCTAGCCACTTAACATCGGCAACGCCGCTGATCCCGACGACGATGATCCCGAAGGGCCCCGAGCATTCACAAGAGCACTTCGAACACTCCACTGTCCCTGTGGTTTCAAAATCACCGGGGTCGAGCCCTACGAGGGGCGAATGAACCCCACACAGTGGCTACAAGCTTATGCCACCGCTGTGTGCACCACCAGGGGAGATACCAATGTCATGGCAAACTATCTTTTCATCATGCTCACGCCAACCGCAATGAACTAGCTCACGAGCCTCGCACCGGATTCCATCAGATCTTGGGAGCAGTTGAAGGTCTTCACCGACAACTATATGGCTATGTGTACTTGGCCGGGCACCAAGCACGATCTGAATCGTATTTGTCAGAAATTGTCTGAGCTCCTCCGTAGCTACATCAGATGTTTTTCCGAGATGAGGAGTTCTATTCCCAACATCACGGAAGCAGAAGTCATCACCACCTTTGTCCAAGGACTCCATCACCGTGACCTCCGCTCCAAATTCAATCGTAAGCCACCAAAGGGGATTGGCGAGATGATTACGACTGCCGATCAGTACGACGACGCTAAAGAGGCCGAAGTTCGCTTCAACGAGGATGCGGGCACTCACCACCCAACTCGCCGTAGAGACGAGAGCCTTGACGAACGACACCACAGTGACCGCCACCATGACGACCACGGCCACCATCAGGACAGTGGTCGTGATAGGCTGGATGGGTCCAGAGCTGGTCAATATCACCGCCGCCGACCAGACAACATCGTCGCCACCATTGACGAACCTCGCGCCAAATGAAACTACGACAAGCAGTACAAGAAAATCCTCGAAGGCCCGTGCCCTCTCCACAAGAACAGTAAGCACAAGATGAAGGACTGCCTTGGCTTCGCTAAGGAGTTCTAGACCAAGAAAAAGGACGATGACAACCATGATGGAGCCAGAGGTCGCCGACCACCTAGGGACAACAACAATGCCTTCTAGGATCATGACAAAGTGGTCACCACTATCTTCGGGGGCCTCGCTACCACCGAGAGCAGAAGAGATCGAAAGCTTACAGCTCGTCGGGTGCTCGCCGTCAGCATAGAGGACGCTATCGCCCCTGGTCTGAGGTCCCCATCACCTTCAGTAGGGCCACCAGTGGGCGGACATCCCTTACACAGGGCGATTTCCCCTTGTTCTCGATGCAACCGTCAAGAAAGTACTCGTCGACGGCGGAAGTGCTCTGAACCTCCTCTTCGCTGGAGCCCTAAAGGAGCTGGGCCTTGGAATAGAAGACCTCACTCCCTCCGACTCCTCCTTCTGGGGGTGGTACCTAGCAGGGCATCCAAACCGCTTGGAGAGATCACCCTCCTGGTACAATTCGGCACGGCTAGCAACTTTCATGTCGAGCACATCAACTTCTACGTCGCCGACTTCAACATCGCCTACCATGCCATGCTTGGTCGGCCAGCTCTGGCCAAGTTCATGGACATACTACACTACACCTATCTGGTATTGAAGATGCCTTCGCCTGTAGGAGTTATGGCTCTACGGGCCAACCTCTCCATCGCCTACGCTTGCGAAACAGAGAGTCTCTCCCTCGCCGAAGCCACCGACCTCTCCATCCAGAAGGCTAGCATGGTCAACGACGCCAAGATGGTGGCCACCAATGACCTAGAGATCCCAGCGCTGGAGCCTCCTCGTGCCTCCGCCAAGTCTAAGGAAACAAAGGAGGTTGGCCTAGGCCTTGACGACCCCACCAAGACCATCAAGATTGGGGCTCATCTCGACCCCAAATAGGAAAGCACGCTCGTCTCCTTCCTACGTGCCAATGCCGATGTGTTTGCTTGGAAACCTACAGACATGCCGGGGGTACCACGGGAGAAGATCGAGCACTCCTTGAATGTATCGCCGACCGCCAAGATGATCAAGCAGAAACTCTGATGATTTGCCCCAGACAAGAAGGAGGCTATTAGGGTAGAAATAAAATGGCTCCTAGTAGCCGGATTTATTGAAGAAGTGTATCATCCTAAGTGGCTAGCAAATCCAGTTCTTGTTTGAAAAAAGAATAAAGAATGAATAATGTGCGTTGATTACACTGATCTCAACAAACACTACCTTAAAGACCCCTTCGGTCTGCCTCGGATAGACAAGGTTGTAGACTCCACCACCGGCTGCGAACTCCTCTCCTTCCTCGACAGTTACTCCGGCTATCACCAGATACCTCTCAAAGAGGACTACCAGATCAAAACATCGTTCATCACGACTTTCGGTGCATATTGCTATACCAACATGTCTTTTGGACTCAAAAAGGCCGGGGCGACCTACCAAAGGGCCATCCAGATGTGCCTTGACCAATAGATAGGCCGCAACGTC